TGGGAGTATGAAAGGGAAACCTTTTTAAAAATAACATGGAAACAAGCAGTAACAATTCAAAGGCTAGAAGATGACAAAAGGATCAATAACTTGAGAATAAAGAATGTAAATGAAGCTGGGATACAAACAAAGGGACTACAAAGGTTATTCACAGAAATAATTAAGGAAAACTTCCCAAACATAGGAAAAGGAAATGATATTCTGATATATGATGCATACAGAACTCCAACCACCTACAGTCAAAACAGCTACAACCAGGCATATAATAATTAGGACCCCAGAAATTCAATATAAGAACAGAATATTAAAAGCTGTTAGAGACAAGAAACAGACAACCTACAGAGGAAGGCCCATCAGAATCACAGCAGACTTCTCGACACAAACCATCAAGTCAAGAAGAGCCTGAGTGAAATATTCCAAGCCCTGAAAGAAAATAACCTCCATCCCAGATTGATATACCCTGCTAAAGTGTCTCTAGAAATGAATGGAGAAACAAGATGCTTCCAAGACAAAGAGGAACTTGGGAAATTTGCAACCACCAATCCAACTCCACAGAGAATACTCCAGGGCATTCCAGAGAGAGAGAAAAGTACTAGGACTCCAGGAACAGTGGCAGAGAGGCCTCAATGAATGGAGCAGAAAACAGAATGAAGATAAGCAGACAAATGATGGCAAAAAAAAGAGCATAACAGGAATGAGGCAGAGAAGATTTTATTCAAAACTGATATGATTGATAGTATCAAGTCTGAGAGTATAGGCAACTACACTGAAGATCACAAGACTGTATGATACACATTCTGGTTTGATAACTGCCAGTTTATGAAGTTCTATACTATATACAAAGTTGTATTTTTATTAATACTGTTATGTACTGACATATTCAATTATACTATGTCTGATGATATAGCCAATTCTATTGGAGATAACAAGAGACAACACAGGAACCATGGTAGAACAATTTGTACAATGGTCTTATATGTTTATTTCATTTCATGTGTTTATAGGAATATGTTTTGTTTTGCCTTGCTTTGTTTTGTTTCTCCCTCTAATATAGAAAGGATAGAAATACATGTTAAGACTCATGCATATGTAGAATCTATAAACAGTTTATGAGAACTGATCATATGACACATGATGAAATGAACAGATACTTTGAAGAAAAAGAGACACTAAAATATCCAGTGCTGATCCTGGAGTGTCATAATGTAAAACCCAGCAATAGTATTATTCTTTGTTCAGAGTGATATTAGCCTGCTTGGGTTTTTATTCAATCTCAACATAACTAAAGAGATGGATAACTGCATGTATGTTTAAGTGTATAGGGTTGATAACCATATTTCTAAATTTTTGTTGGATAGTTGAACAGAACTGATTGCAATCTCACTGTTTGAATCCCCACTTTATAAGCTCCACTTTAGTATCTTGAATAACTATTTGTAAGAAGACAATCTTTAATCATCAACTAGTGATTTCTTACTGTTTATTTTTTCTCTGAAATGATGTATTATTTCTACCCATTTTCTGTTTTGTTTAGTCTTTCTTTAAATTAAATTAAAAAAGACACTACAGTACCCAGTGCTGATCATGGAGTGTCATGATGTGAAATCCAGCAATACCATTATTCTTTGTTCAGAATGATTTTAACCTGCTTTAGTTTATTTAATCTAAACTTAAGTGAAGATATGGATAACTGCATGTATGTTTAAGTGTATAGGATGGACAACCATGTTACTAAGTTTTTGTTGGACAGTTGAACAGAACTGTTTGCAGTCTCACTGTTTGAATTCCCACTTTACATGTTCTATTTTTATATCTTGAACAACTATTTGTAAAACGACAATATGTAAACATCAACTAGTGATTTCTTACTGTTTATTTTTTCTCTGAACATATGTGTTATTTCTACCTAAAAAAAAACAAAAAACAAAAACAAAAAGAAAATATTTCAAGAGTAAGGAAAGTCTCATTTTTAAAATGAGCATAAGCCCCCAATAGACCTACCTCCAAAGAAAGCACACAAATGTTACCACATACTTAAGCCACAAATATCACCTCATTCTTCTAAGACTGTCCATTATCAAAAGAATAAACGATAACAAGCCAGGCACAGTGGCTGAGGCAGGAGCGTTGCAAACTAGGCCCAGACCTGAGCAGCTGAGACCCTGTCTCACTGGAAAACAAAGGGCTGTGGTGTAGGGTAAGGGAAAGGCTCCGGGGCTGAACGGTGGAGAGGAGGACGATGAGGAGGGGAGAGAAAACGAAAAGGAAGAAGAGGGGAGAAAGAAGGAAGAGAAAGGAGAAAAGAAGGGAGAGAGAAGGAAAAGGCAAAGACAGACGATGAATGAAAATGTCAGTGAGGGTTCAGAGCAGGGAGCTGCACACAGGCGGTGCAAGGTGAGGACCACCAGTGTGGAGAACAGCACGGAGTTTTCTCAAAAAATTAAAACTGGAGCCACAAGCGCACCAGGGGTCCCAGTGCACTGCACATACAGAGGAGCTGGATGCCTTTACCAAAGGGACATCTGTGCACCTCTATTTGTTACCATTTATGTCTTTCTGGTGGCTGAGACAAAAATACCCAACACCCAAAGTTAAAGGAGGAGAGGTTTACTTGGCTCACAGGAGTACAAGTTTCAGTGCACAGTGGGCTGGTGCCAAGGCAAGGTGGCACATGGCCAAGGGGCACTGCCGCACAAGCAGAAGGCAACCAGCTGCAGTGATGGGCAACAAGCCACCGACGACGAGCCTCTTTCTGTGCCTTACCTGCGTCAGGCTGCCGACCCAGCAGCACTCACACACTTAATCTTTGCATCACACACCCTAGATCCGACCATCTCTGAAACCCCCACCTATGACTCCGTAGGCTTTGGGAGAATGCCTAGTTACAAGCTGTACAAACTCACAAGAGCAAAATCTGCCACTGAATAGGTGGCTATCAATGGATGAATGGATAAAGAAAATGTTTGGTTACATTTAGTCTTTTGAGTAGTAGCTGGCAAAATTGTTTTCCCTTTTTGTAAGTAAATGGTAGGTAACACGCAGAGGAATACTATGCAGCCATAAAAAGAAAACTGTCATTTGCAAACAAGATGCATGAACTTGGGAGGCCACTATGCTAAGTAAAATAAGCCAGGCATGGAAAGTAAGAACCACATGATCTCATTGAACTAAATAGTGAACTCATCAAAAAGACAGGCAAGCCATGGGGAGGTGCCTGTCAAGGCACCAAGCTTTAGCAGGTCAGTAACAAGCAGGTGACTCTAATGGATCAGTGTGTATTTCAGAACAGCTAAGAGTAAATTTTCAAATGGCAGTGACACATGCACAGAAGTGGCACTAAGTTAACCAGCTGGATTCACACTCTATGCTGGATACAGACAGAAGAACACAGCAGTGTGCCGGCCATGCAAGCGACAGACACATGGGAGCAGAGCCGTGCACCTGGACGAAGTGTGAGTGGCAGCCTGTGGTCTGCACAGCGTCACAGCAGGGAATCACTATAGAGAGAGGTGGGGGCTTTCATTTTGTCTACAATATTCTGTTCCTCAATGTTATGCACACCTATTCCATTTTCTGAGCCTCAAACATTTAAAAATTATTAAAGTCCTTCTAGAAACCAATCATTTGAGAAGGGTTAAAGAACTAAAAATTGTTAGTGCATGATTGCTATTTTAAAATATCGGAAGGAACAGCAGAATGTACAGAAAATCGGGTTCTGCCCAGCTGCCCAAGCAATGCTATCAAGAGTCAACAAAGGGGCCAGGCATGGCGCCACCAACCTGTAATCCCAGCACTCAGGAGGTCGAGGCAGGAGGATCACTGCAAATTCAAGGCCGGCCTGGGACTGTACTGTGAGTTCAAGACCAGCCTGAACTTCATAATGTTTCAAAAAGAAAAAAAAAAAAAAAATATATCAACAAATGGGATCACATCAGATACATGTTACATGTATAGGCAAAGATCACATCACTAAAAAGCTTCTGCACAGCAAAGGAAACAACCATCAATATAAAGAGACAACTTATGAAAAGGGAAAATAATTTTGCCACTACTACTCAAAAGACTAAACACCTAGAATATACAAATAACCTTTAAAAAATTAGATCCTCCAAATTTAAAGACTCAATAAAAAATGAGCATCTGAAATGAATGGACACTTTTCAGATGAAGTACAAATGCAAATACATATATGAAAAAATGCTCAACAATGGAGAAACGCAAATTAAACCCACACTGGCAGCCCACTTCTCTCCAGAGAGATGGCTGCCCTCAAGACAACCAACAACAAAGCCTGGAGAGGCTGTGGAGGAAAAGGACCTTCCTTCGTTGCTGGCGAGAGTGTAGACTGGGGCAGCCCGAGGGACATCAGCATGGGCACTTCTCAAAGCACTGAAAAGAGAAATTCTATTTCCCTAGCACTCCTCTTCTAGGTCTCTTCTTTGAAGTGTTAGCCACACCTCACTGACCCACGCATACCAAGTTTATAGCAGCGCAACTCACAACAACCTTGCAGGCAGCCTGCAGGGCCCTCGGCAGAAGGGAGGAGACACTGCTGTTCGCACACCTGGACGATGAGCTTGAGTCACCTGGGGAGAACGGATGCACCTGGGGACCACAATGCTGAGCAAATCAGACACACAGGGAATGACCGCATGTTTTCCTTCACATGAGAAACTCAATATAAAGCACAGAAGAAAAGCAGACAAGAGGAAAAGAGCAAACAATTCCTGAAATCCAGCATGGCCAATGAGTCTAAAGTGCACCTTGACTTAGCGTAACTGTCTTGTGTGTCTTCTGTGTCGTCTGTGTTTTCGGCCTGTCAGTCTCACTGTTAATCTGTACAGCACACACAGTGATTAACTGCATATGGACTTATAAGATAAACAAGTGAATCTGATGCTGTCCAGAAAGGAGCAAAACAGAATTGAGACACGTTATGTGTTATATCAGTTCCCCCACAATGAATGTAATCATCACGCACTGCAGACACATATCAATAATGTAGCTTAAGAAAATGGGTTTTGATAACTTATGGGCAAGCACTTGTCAGCTATGAGCCACATAAGAATTGTGGTAAAAAAAAAAAAACAGTGGCTATTTAATTTTTAGAAATTATTACAGTAGACACAGTGCCATTAATCACCCTGGGAATACCCCCCACTTCAAGCACATGTATCCCATGGTTCCTGCCAATTTCCGAGCCCTTCTGCAGTCCTTTCCTGAGTGCGGCGATGGTTTACACCAGGATGCTCCCCAGAGCCTCAGGGCTCACAGGTGGCGCTTCTCACAGGGTGCGGGATCCAGGCGGTGTGAATGTGGTCCAGCATGTGGCTTAGCACAGTTGTGGGTGTGGACAGCGGGAGCCCCACCCTGGGTGTGAGTGGCACCACCCACAGAGTTTACAGCCTGGACAGAAGAAGAGGAAGGCAGGCTCACTGCTGCTGCTGCTGCTGCCGCCACCGCCGCCTCCACCTCCTGCCAGCCCTGCCGAGCCCCCTGCCTTGGAGCCAGCTGACTCTGGACTGAAACCTCCACAAACTGGGAGTTAAACAGACTTTTCTTCCTGTGACTTGTGGGCACTAGGTATTTTGTTGCAGCAGGAAGAAATGTAACAAGACAGCTGTCTTCTGCTGCACGGTCATGGCTGCCTCGATGTCCTGAAGGAGTCAAAACTTTGACATTCTGTTGTCATTCTGATTTTGAGAAGAGCTGGAGGTCACACAAGGCCAAATCTGCTGCACGAAGTGGATGGGGTGCTTCCTGTCTTCACCAGCCGCTGCCATTCTGTCCATGGTGCTTGGCAGCAGCAGACCCCATGTTTTTATCAGACCTTGTACGACACTCAGGGAAGGGATGGACGCCAGAGCTGCTGCAGAAGATGGCAAGAACCATCGGACAGGTGTGTGAAAAATGGAGGGAGGATCTGCAGGGGGATTCATTGCAATGTCTTTTACTGTAATCAAGGTGTTAAAATTTTTCAATTCACCGTATTTCTGATCATCCTTGAACGTCACTACTGCTGCTGCGAGGACTTAGGACAGACAGGGAGAATTAGAAGGAAGGCAAATGGGGTCTCCCCAGAGACACATCTTGTGGCAGCCCTGCTGTGACCTGGCTGGAAGAGGCAGAATGATTTGGGGTCTCCATGCCTGTCCCCTGTTCTGCAAAGCAGAGGTAGCGCAGTCACAGTGCCCCCCGCTCCACTGTAACAGAGGCGGGCAGGTTATTTTTAAAGTGCTCTACGTGCACACGAAGCAGAGCCAATGTCTAAAGAGCCTAATCTCAAGGGTTCAGGTCAGGTCATCTAAGGAGCGGGACAGAGTGGCACACAAGTACCTACAGCGCCAGCACTCTGAAGGGCTGAGGCAGGAGCCCTGCAAGTTCAAGCACCGCCTATCACTTACTCAGGACTTGGTAAGACCCTGTCGCAAAAATGAAAACTAAAAAGGGTCTGGGAATATAACTCCATGCCAAGACCTGGGAAGGTTTTGTTTCTAAAAGGAGAGGATGGGGGAAATCCGATATGAAGCGGAGAGACTGAAATCACAATGTCTGCAGTTTCCTTTGCCTTAGATCTCACTCACCACCACCGCACAGAGGTTGTATTTAGGGTGCTTCCGGAAGACGGGGCAGATGTAAGGTGTGAGGTCCAGGTTAGTGAGCGGGTAGTGAATGTCGGTTCTCAGCTTCCTCTTCACCTGGCCCTGAATGTCAAACCTGGAGAGGGGAGACGTGTGTGGTTGGTGGAGGGAGCTCTGAACCACACAGCCGCATTGGCTGCACAGCAGAGAGTTTATCTGGTCCAGATCATCAGTACAAACTGCTCTCTCTCATCCAAGTAGAAACATCACACTGACACCGGGCGTGGATGTGTGCACCTGTCATCCAGTATTCAAGAGGCCGAGGCAGGAGGACTGCTGCCAGTTTGAGCCCAGTGTGGGCTATGTCATACGTTGTATCATGGGGAAAGAGAGAAGCCACACAGAGGTGGAGCCACTGTGACCTGCGGCCGGAGGCTCCACTGTCCCTGACCGTGAGCTCAGCACAGCCTGCTGCTGCCACAGCCTGGTTACAACTCTGAGGACTTACTACAATGTTTCAGGGCAAAAATCTGTCCCACTCATACATCAGAAGTTCCCAGGTGTGGCAGGGTTTTTTGCATTTTTTTTTTTTTAATAACTTGCCCTTTTGGTAAAATGGCAGGCTGAGGTCTGAGGAGGGAAGCTGCAGCTGAGGCTGGGCAGCTCCAGGCTGGCGAGCCAGAAACTTTGCTGCCAAATGCGCTGACCTCCCCAGGTCTGTGGGGACACCAAGATCCGCTTCCAGGCAGAAACCTACAGCCAGGGCTCATAGCACCCTACTCAGAGCGGCCAGGACCTGGAAACCACCAGTGCTCACTGCCTGCTGATGTAAAGAGGAGGAAAGCACAACACACCGAGGGGTCCCCAGGGTGGCCAGTGGCTCAGAGGGTGGTGCGCGGAGGGCCTGCCCCAGAGGTGCAAAACCACAGCGACAGCGTAGACTAGCGCAGCCCGGGCCTGGGACGGGCCTCTGACCAAGGACCTTTTTAATGTTTTTGTTTTGAAACAGGATCTTGCTATCTAGACCACACTGGCCTTGAACATGGAGTGAGCCTCCTGTGTCCCTCCTGAGTGCTAGGATCACAGATGTGTAAAGTTTCCATCAGTCCGCATCTGCGGTCCACAGCGATCACACTCATCATGAGGAGTTGCTGCGCCGCATAACACGTCTTCATGCTTTCTCTTCCCTCCATCATTTGACCCTCTTCTCATTTACAGCAGTAAACAAGCCCTCGAAATGGGAATTTTACCCTAAGAGGAGGAAGTTTAAAAGGGGTGAGGGAGGGGACATGGAAAGATGCACTGAGATTAGAGGCAAGGCTGGAAGACAAAGGAAGGTAGTCTAAACTTTGGGGAACTGGTGAAGACAGAGGGAAGGAGAGAAGGAAATCTAAAAAGAACAAAATGGAAAAACTAAACTAGTCACACTCATAAAAATGAAAACAATGAAGAAAAAACAAAACAAAACAAAAAAACAATGGAAGGAAAAACAAAAAAGAAAAAAATGTCCACTTCAGGGTGTGCCTCTGCAGTCACTGATGGACAGCATGGGAGCCAGCGTGGCTTTGAGCCAACCCCAGCAAGCCAGCGGTAGATGCTTTAGTGGGCATTAATAATCCCAGCAAGCCTAGACCTTTAGTGACTCAGAAGTTCATGTGATTTCTGGCTGTGAGGCTGGAACCAGATTTGGTTTTTTTTGTCTTTTTCTTTTTTTATCAGTACCAGGGATTGAACTCACGACCACACACTTGCAAGGTGGGCACTTATGCCACTGAGCTAAATCCCTAGCCCCTGGAACCAGATTTGTTCCACCTGCAGTTGTTCACACGCCTCCTGCTTGCCTATAGTTGCCTTTCCCCAGTTTGAACTCAGTTCTTTGACCTCCTGCCAACTGGAAATTGGCAGCCTGACCTCGTCACTGGGAACCACCAAATGGAGCCAGCCCACAGCTGTTCTGAGTTCCAAGCTAGGTTGTTCCCTCTCCAAGATGGCTTCTGGGCAGTCACCCTCTCCCATGGGATGTCCGAACCTGAAAACCCTCAGCTACCAAAGTCCACTGCGTGGGTTTGCGGGCAGTCAACACATGTCTGCAGGTTTAAGCCATCCCTCCTACACAGGGGGTCTCGGCGGGGGAGAAAGCGCCACCAGCCCCCTCCTTGGCTGAAGTCTGTCTCTTCTCTCCCCCTGGGCTTCAGTTCTCACTTCAGATCCTTCCTGAATGCTGAGCACCCACTTCTCTCTTTCTCTTCCTCATGAAGCATCAATTACAGAATTAAACTTACACTGAATACTGATAAACGCTAAGGACCAAAAAGTATCACCCTTCTTCACAGAAGAGATCTATAATTATATTATAAGCAGTCAGACAAACCAAATATTGACCTCTTTCTCTCATTGCTGAGACAAAATAACTGGTGCCCAAAATGAAGGAAGGAAAGGTTTATTTAGCTCACAGCTGGTGGAGGTTTTGGTTCACAGTCAGCTGGGTCCACGGCAGGGTGGCCCGGCAGAGGGCAACACCGCATGGTGACGAAAACAGCAAAGCAGCAAGAGCCAAAGGGAGAGAGTGAAGAGAGAACTCCTTCTGTCCTGTACACTGCACGCAGGCCACCCCTACGGGTGTGGCACTCACGCCTGTAATCCCAGCACCAGACCATGCATCAGTCACAAGCTAGAAGCCTGCCCTCAACGACCGCGTGAGGCTGTGGGGGACATCTAGCCACAAACCCTAACACGGACCTGCAGTGAATATCAACTGTGGGACAACTGTGGTGCACCAGTACAGTATTCAACATTAATCACATAAAATTAACTGTTTACCTAGTGATTCACAAAGCTTAGAAGTTCTACTAGTAAAGATGGAAGGGGTTGGGAACTGGAGAATGAAAAAAGCTAAATTTGAGAAATTAACTGATGGGACAGGAAAAGGAGAGAAATGTAAGATAGGGGTTCTTATTAGGAACAAAAGGAAATTAGTAGTGCAAGAGAACAGCTGCTGGGGCTGGGGATTTAGCTCAGCGGCATAAGCACCTGCCTTGTAAGCTGGCCGTTGTGAGTTCAATCCCTGGTACCGATAAAAAAAACGAAAAAGACAAAAAAAAAAAAAAATCTTAAAAAAAAAATGAAAACAACAAACGGAAGAAAAAGACAAAAGAAAGTAAAAGAGGAGAAAAAAGGAGAGTGGGAATCTTCAAATTCTCCCCCCAAAATACCTGATGAAGGAAAGATAAAATACAAAGTAGAAAAATAAAAAGACTGAGTCAAAAAAAATCCTGCATTGTTCAGTGAATGAACGGTTCCTTCCACGCTCTGGAAAGGAGCCTTCCCAGCCCGGGATGGAGCCAGTCGGTTTCCTATGCCGACCTTTTAGGGCCATGGGTTTTAGAGGTGCCTCTTTCCACCTGAGGCTTCTCTGTTCGTTTCCCCCAGACTGTGGTGACCATTTAACCCAAGCTGAAAATTGTTCAATTGTCCCCAAATGAACAGAAAATTGTGTTTCAGAAAATTGTTTTTATTGCCAGGTGTGGTGGCTCATGCCTGTAATCCCAGCACTCGGGAGGCTGAGGCAAGAGGATCGTTGCAGTTCGAGACCAGCCTGGGCTACACAGTGAGCTCAAGGCCAGCCTGAACTGCACTGTGAGACCCTGTCTCAAAAAGACCAAAAAAAAAAGGAAAATTGTTTTTATCTACTTAAGCCCTTTTTTTCACAGGTTTTTGTTTTTGTTTTGCTCTGTTCTGAGACAGGGGCTTACTACACAGCCCAGGCTTGCTTGAATTTGTGGAGATTCTTCTGACTCGGTCTCCTGATCACTGGGATTATAGGTATGTGCCACCATACACAGCTTTTCATAGTTTAAAATCTGTCTACAGCAAACCACTTTGATAAACATTCCTTCCACAGAGATATATAAATGGACAACATGGCCATAAAAATATGCTCACCATGAAGAATCACTGGGGAAATGCAGATCAAGTTTTCTATGAGGAACCACTCACCTACTGTGTAAAACACCACCTCAACGGGAAACACTACGCGCTGCTGGACTGCAGAGCCTAGAAGCCCCGGCACTGCCACAGAGAGAACCACTTATGCAGCCACTTTGGAAACAGCTGGCAGTCACCCTGTGGCCTGTGAACCCCACTCTGAGGCAAATGCCACGATATGAAAGCAGAACCCAACCAGATACTTCTACAGTGCTCACTGTAGAAATTCAAGCTGGAAACAACTGGCGTTCACCCTTAGATGAACAGATAAAGTGCTATATCCATGCAATGAAATATTACTCCATGATAAAAGGAAAGAAATTGTGGAAACTGCTACAACACAGGTGAACCTGAACATTATGCTAAATGAACTATGCCAGACAAAAAGGAGAAGCACTGCATAATTATTTTTTTAAGACAGTGTCTCACTACGGTTTCAAGGCTAGCCTTAAACTCACTAGGTAGCCTAGATTGGCCTTGATCTCACAGTGATCCTGCTGTCTCAGCCTCCCAAATTCTGAGATTACAGGTGTGCACCACCATGCCCAGCTGCATGATGGTATTTATGAAGTAATAGGTGAATTTATAGAGGCAGAAGAGAGGTCACATGGACTGAGGAGAGGAAAAACATGGAAGTATGTTGCTTGATGGCGCAGGGTTCCTGTTTGGGGTAATGAAAAGTTTCGGAAATCATAGTGAGTGTTGCCCACCATTATGAATGTAATTAATGCCAATGAATTACACATTGAATTTTAATTGAAACAATGGCAGATTTCATGAAATAAATCACAATTTAAAATTAATAATGCAGTACACCAAATACCACTGGGTCAAATGCTTTAAACGGGCAAATTCTTGGCACGTAAAATTATAACTCTATAAAGCTGTTTGAAAATATCTTTACATGAACTGTCAAAAACTTGTACCTTTTTAAGTGAAAAATAATGGTTTTTGGTGGTTTGGAAATACTGGCCCTCACGGCTGTTTCCTGCTTCGTTTCACAAAAGGAGCAATGGATTTGGTTGTTCCAGGTCAGTGTGTCTTGCTGGAAAAAGCACTGCAGACAGTCCTGTGGGGGAGAACCAGGTGGTGACCGTCCTGAAACAAGTACGCCCGGGCCCATTCGTGGCAGAACTCTCACGGAGCACCTGCACTGTGCTCCAAGGGCTTTTCTCAGGGTCCCCAAGTCCAGGAGAGAGCTGGGTGGGTCACAAGCTACAGCCCCGGCAGCTGTAAAACTATCCCACAGAGGTACCCAGAACACTGCTTTCTCATTTAGTACCGAGATGAATGTGAGCATTCACGGCTTTTAACATCCAACTGCTGGACGCTGCTAATAATAACACAGACTTTTCAATTTTCACTAAAAAAGCCAGGCAGCAACTTGACTGGACTCATCGCTGACATGATCTAGTGACTGAAAAGGGACCAGATCTCTGGGTTTGCGGGGGGCTGCCCACAAGAAAGCTGCAGAACGGTGCACAGGGTGTGCTATTTTCCCACTGTGGTCAGGTCTCTGGCTCGCACACTGTTTACCTAAAGAGGGAAATGAACACCGATTCTGTTTTCAATATACATAGCTAACATCCCATTTAGGGAATATCTGGGGGCTAGGGCTAGGGCTCAGTGGCAGTTTGCCTAGCATGTGTTCAAATCCCAGCATAGGGGAAAAAGGGATTCACAGTAACTTCTGGCCAACGTGTTGCTTTTCAAAACAAATGCTGTTATCATGGGCTTTTTTGCTTTTTTTCTTTTCTCATACAGCAAACAACTAAACTCACAATTCTTAATTTGACTGGCTTGGGAGCCACAAGGGCATGTGTAAGGCGGTCACATGAGCATGACCTTGAGGTCTTACCTGGTTCCTGATGCTTTCATCCCTGGTGCCACTTCCCTGCTGTTCCCTGGCCACCAGAAATGAACCAAATGGCTCCGCCACACTCTCCCACCCTGCTGGTTTTTGCCTTGGAGTCAGTCAGCCACGGACTAAACCCTTCAGAACTGAGCCAAATCATCCTCCATTAAGTTGTAAATGTCAGGTGTTTGGTGCCAGCAACAGGAAAGCTGGCTAATACTGAAAATTATTAGCAAGTTACTGCTGTGTCTATACTTGATTGTATGGTTCAGGACTGTTTGGAACTAGTTTTCAGGAGAAATTTGGAAAGGTTTAGAAATACAAGGCTACAAAAGCCCTAGAATATGATAAGCATAATCTGATGATCTGGTAAGAGCTCAGACCAGAATTCTGATAAAACGCAGGAGTCTTGATCCCCTCCTTTGCTCTTGACGCTTTTGCTGTCTTCTTTGCCTAAAAGTGTTGCCCATGCCAAGCCACCCTGCTTTGGAGCCAGCTGATTATGGACTGAAACCTCCACTAACCATGAGCTAAATAAACCTTTCTTCCCTTAATTTGGGTGTCAGATATTTTGTCTCAGCAATGAGAGAAAAGCAACCAAGATAGAATTTTGTATCAGAGAATTGGGGACATTGCTGTGACTATATCTGACCACGTGGTTCAAGAGCTTTTGGGAAGGGAGAAGAGTTTGGTAAGGTTTGGAGATGTCACCTGAAAAAGTAGTGCTGGAAAGACTTAGGCTGTCCTGTATAGGAGATTCTGTTCAGAGCTCAGAAGATTAGAAGGCTGACAGAAATCCTACCAGTAAAGACCAAGCTTGGGAGGTTTCTACTGGGAAGGACTGCACTGGGTACTGGACTCCCGTTGATATGTTATGGCTTGGTAAAAACTTTGTCTGTATTTTGCTCATGTCCCAAGACTTTGCCTGAGACTAAGATTAAGGGTGATGAACTAATTAATCTGGCAGAAGAAATTTCAAGGCAGTCAAATATTGAGGCATGGAATGGCTATTGTCGGGGCAGATTTATGTTGGGAATCAAGACCAAAGAGCCCAACAGGATAATTTAATACACAGAGTTTGGCCAGACAGAAGCTCCAATAAACCTGGAGACCACAAAGATACAAGATCTTGATCACTGAGAAGAAACTAAATATAAAATATGGCCTGAAGGCATCCTTTGCAGCCTCAAAGCTGCAAAAGTGAAAGACTCTGAGACAAATGCCACAGAGCACCATGTTCCAGAATGGCAGTAGCATAAAAAATTTGTTCCTCAGAGTTATATACAGAGTGCCCAGTGTTCCAGGTACTCAACTCCTATAGCCGAGAGAGGGGAAAACATGGCTACAGTTCCAGCTGGCAGCAGACCACGGCATCATCTAGGTGGTGCTGGTTTTAGGTGTATGCAGAATGCAAGAGCTGTGGGGTTAAGAACGCATCTATCCCAACTTTAGGAGGCCTGGGAGGCCAGGCAGTGCCCCTGGAGAGAAGTATGTGAAGCTGTGAGGTGAAGCCAAAGGTACAGTGGAGACCCCAAAAGTTTGGAAAAACCAGTAACACGGATAATCTAAGGAAAGCTGCAAGGAGGGAGCACAGCAGGCCTAAGAGAGAAGCTGTGGGAGCTGCAACCACCAGAAGTGCTCAGGCCCTTCGGCACTCACAATTTGCCACAGACTGTTTCAGACACTGGCGGTTGAACTACAGGACTTAATGTTTGCCTTGTTGGATTTTGGAATTGCTTTGGTTCCGATTCTTTGTATCCTTCTGCTTGTAACTTTTGAAAAGGAAATGTTTATCACATGCCATTGAATGTTGGAAGTGTTTAACCTTTCATTTGCACAGGGGCTTTCAGCTAAGAATTTTCCTTAAATCTCAAAGGAGACTTGAGACTTGGAACAGCAATGCTAAAACCATTAGGACTTTGGCAAATCTTGCAGATGGATTAAATGCTTTTACATAGAGAAATGCACATGAGTCTTTGGGGGGCCTGGGACAAAATGTTCTGATTCTAATGTAATATAACGATGACAGACTTAATGCTGGTTCTTCAGGGGGGCTCCAGGCGTCACCTTCAGCCTAGACATTGTCTCCTGGCTTCCCCCTGGGACTCTTCAGCCTTCTGGTGTAGATTCTTCAGTGTTCCACTGCAGACCCATCAGCCTCCAATACCGACTTGCACAGAACACTGCAGTGAGTTCAGACTGTGGAACAGACCCTTAAGTTTCCATTGTGCAGACGCCCTCTGTACGCTTCCTCATCCAACTCTGAGGCTGACCATCATAAGCCAATCTTATAATTCCTTACGTATTTTTACATCTTATCTTGCATGTTTCTCTAGTAAAACCCGATTAATATAGGCCATGTGGGGACAACCAGCAAAAGCTACACAGATGTGGACTCCCAAGTCCTTTGGAACCCATGTCTCACCAGCATGTATCCAGGATGGACATAAGCTACAGGACTTAATGGTTGCTATAGGGGTTTTGGTTCTGCTTTTGTTCAATTCTTCTGTATCCCTCTGTTCATTTTTGGAATAGGAATATTTATGCTATATCACTATATATTGAGATTAAAGCATTTGTTTTTTGAATTTCATAGGTGGTCACTGCTAAGAATTTGCCTTGAGTCACAGAAGAGAGTTTGACTTGGACTTCTGAGAAATGCTGAACTGCTGAGGCTTTGGGAAAGGGATCAGTACATTTTTGGTTGTATACAGCACAGTTGTATCACGTTAAGTAAAATTATGAATTTGTGATTGTCTTTATTTGGAGATTATGGTTTTAGAAGATGTGTGTGGGGGTCAAGTTAAGAAAGGCTGGAACGTGATAGTTAAGTTTAATCATCCATTTGACGGGCTTCAGAGCACGCTTCTGGGGTTCTGCACGGGTCATGGAGGCGTGACCCTGAGAGTCAGCATCTGGCCTCTGGCCCCTTCTTCTAGTGCTGTTCTCTGCTCTGCTTCCTAGCCACCAGGAAGTGATCAGCTTTTCTCCATCATGTCCCTCTGCCACAACGTTCTATCATGAACTGAACCCTCTGAAACTATAAGCCAAATTACAGCTTTCCACATTTCAACTGAGGATGTCCGGTGTTTTGTACCAACAACAAGAAAGCAAACTTTCATACTCTTTCTCACTGCTGAGAAAAAATACCTGACACCCACAACTAAGAAGGGAAAAGATTTATTACCTCACAGTTTGTAGATTTCAGTTCCTAACTGACTGGCTCCAAGGCAGAGGGGCGATAACTGTTCATGGCAGCAAAAGCAACAAGGACAAGTCTCTTTTTAGTCCCTCACACTGTATACAAGCTACCCATCCTGGGCAAGTGTAGCATCCACACCCTCGGTCCCAGCACCGCACAACGATCAGGCACCTCTGAAAAGCCCTGCATGAGGTCTGGGGCAGGAGGGCATCTAGACACCAAGGATAACCCTAACCAATATATCTTCCTTACTAAACAATGTAGGAAAAAAAGCCCCAAGAAAATACAAGGATGACAAAGGTAGACTGGGTTCAGTCATACACACCTGTAATCCCAGCTACTCAGGAGGCTAAAGCAGGAAGAGCACAAATTTGAGGTCAGTCTGAATAATTTAGTGAGACCCTCTCTCAAAAAGTCAGACACAGCATCCACGATCAAGGAGTCCTACCTGAAGGGTGCATTCATACTCGGAAGGGATGGGGAGAGAAAGGACAGTGAAGACTTCATTCCTGTAGCTGCAGTTCTCACACTTCAGACACATGATGCTGTAGTTGAGCTGCCCTTCAAAAAGCTGGGTGATGATGGATGTCTCACTGGCAATCCCTCTGCTGCAGCATCTTTGGGTAGATCTTTTCTCACCCGACCTTTGATGGTACTAAATCATGGGACAAATTTCCCCCAATCAACTATGGTTTATCAAAAACATTTTTAAACACATTTTTTCTATCAGAATAATACATGTCAAACAGAGAACACTTAGTTGTAGACTCAGATAATGTACAGAGTAAGACCTTGAGGTATGTATCACGCATGAGTTTTGACGACTGTATTTTCCTCTGGAGGGCAAATTGAGCAAGGATGGCTCCCAACTTGGGTAAAACACAAGCCCACAGTCACATAAGCCAACAGCCTGTGATCATGCGATACAAGGCTCTGCACCTAGGTTTCCCTGTTACTGAACTAAATTTAGATCATGCAAGTTGATATAGTCTAATCCAACCCTTAGTTGGTTTAAATTCCCTGCCTTTTTTCTTTTAATGTATGGGAAGTACTTTATTTCGGTTTTCTAAGACAGCTTTTCACTATGTAACCCAGGCTGGCCTTAAACTGGCAGTGAATCTTTTGCTTGAGCCTCCCAAGTGCTGGGATTACAGGTGTCTGCCATCACACCTGGCCAGAAAGTACCCTTTAAAATAAAACATAAAATGTCATGCTGGAAGTGAATCTTGTGTGGGTTTTTTTTTTTTTTTTTTTTTTTTTTTTTGTCTTTTTCCTTTTTATCAGTACCAGGGATTGAACTCATGACTGCCTGCTTGCAAGGCAGGTGCTTATGCCACTGAGCTAAATCCCCAGCCCCAAATCTTGTTTTTTAATACAAGTGACTACCTGGTTCTTTGGTATGGCTTTAGTTTCTTTTTCTCTCAGATGCATAGGCTGGCTGGTTCCTTGGCCTCCCTGAATGGGCCTTGCACAGGGCCCAGTGAGCAGACAGCTTTGTCTCAGATCAAGGCCAGTGCAGTGGCTGCAGGGACAGTATTTTCTTTCATCTTTCCCACGTGGTCTGAGCTTTGGATCTCTGGGTAAAGTAGCTACTTATCTTTATAAACATTTTTTCTGGTCATAGTAAAAGTGTAGCACCCTGAGTTAATAAAGTGTTACTTTTCAGACACACACAAAAGCAAATCTTTAACTCCTCGAGCACCTTGATGTCTTGACCTGGTAGCCTGATGTGAGCCCAGCTCGTCCCTGAGATGACTCCAGAGCCCATGCCTAGTTGGAGGTGCTTTGCAGGTCGCACTAGGTCACTGTCAGTTGGCCGTGTCAGCTCTGCCATCTCGGTCTCCAGCCCCTCATTTCTAGTGTGGCTTCAGGAGCCCCACTGCTGTTTACTCAGTTGTTTGCAAGTGGCGCCAGGTTTTCATAAGCACCGCCCCGCTAAACCTGTGTAGCACCACTGTCTGGTTCTCACTTAGAATGCAAAATGGCCCTGAGGTGGCGCTGTAACACAGGGCTAAGGGAAAAGACACGGTCACATCTCCAGGAGTGCAGCTCTCACCCCAGGGTACAAGGCAGGCCTGGAGGCAGGGCGCCTTGTGTAGGGGAGACAATTCCGACTCTGCAGGGGCCTGGGGTGGGTATGCTCAGTGCGTGGCTTTTATGTGTAGATGCGATGAAGATTCAAGTTGTACTGTCTTATTTTACATTTGAGACAGCATCTTGTTTTCATCTGCAAGGAGAATTGGACTCCTGGTTCCACCCCTTGCCGATGACCGGAAATGCCAATGTGGTGGATGCGGCTGTACATCCAGACATGAAGCGGGCTGTGCTCTACAGGCCCGGCCCTGCCCATCACTGGGCACCCAGCATGGGAACACAAGTCAGACGTGGAAGCAGCTGAAGGACTGCAAATGGAGTACTACTCAGCCAGAAAGAAAGGTACATTTGAGTCATGTGTAGGAAAACAGATCACCTTGATACTTTCATATTACGTGAAAGAAATCAGACAACACAAGCTTAAACATCACAAGGTTTCTCTCAGTTGAGGAACCCAAAATACAAATAAAGAGCAAAATAAAAGGCAGATAACAGGAAACTCTGATGGATCTTTTGAAAACGGGAGGGAGTCAAGAGATGCAGGGAGTAGAGGCCCTCGGCTCACCCTCCCCGCTCCCCGCCTTCCCCCGCGCCCCGCCCTCCCCCGCGCCCCGCCTTTCGCCGCGCCTCACCTTCCTCAGTGCCTCGTGCAGCGCGTTGAGTACGTAAATGAGGAACTCCTGTGCATCCTGCTGCGTCCTCTTCGTGAAGTCCGGGTGCAGCCGGCCAAGCGCTGCCCGGAACTCCTCTGGGGACACGCAGTCGGCGTCGCCCAGCCACATGTCTGTCAGCAGGTATGCGAAGGCCGTGGCCACCTCCCTGCAGTCCCTAGGCCAGCGAGGGACGAGGAGGGCGCTGAGGGGCGGTCTTTACGATTGTCCCCTCAGCAGTCAGGCTAGCCCCGCCTCGCCCGCGGCCCCGGCCGGCGACGGCGACCCCGTACTTGCGCAGTGCGGTGACATACTGTCCCGAGCGGAAGTACTGCGCCAGCGGCGGCACGCTTGCCAGACACTGCAGGACGGCGTTCATGTAGCACGTGTTGCCCAGGTTCCGCAACCCGGCCACGCCCGGTGGGTTTGGCGGCCGCGCGGGGTCCTCGCGGGCGGGAAGCGGGTCAGGGAGCTCCGTGCGCTCCGTGCTGTGTGGATGGGCAGAGAGAGAATGCTCTGAGGATGGGAGAGAGGCAAAGGGCACAGAGCTCCTCCCTGGGTCAGTCAGGACATGTGCTGGCCCCACCAGGGTCCACTGTGGTGTTCCTACAGCCCAGGCGTGGTGGCCCACCGGTAGGCTGAGGCAGGAAGGTCACTGAATTTGAAGCCAGCCTGCACTACATAGTAAGAGCTGTCTCAAAACACCAAAAATCAAACAAAAGTATGTATTCTTTACTCCATAACGCTGAACAAGTGCCCAAAGCCAAATCAAACCTAGATAAAAATTTCTTCCTGAAACTAAAGCAACAGAATTGCAACATACTGGCCTTGCAAAATTATAGACCTGCTTGGCCCAAAATAAAATTTTCCCATAAAAGCCAAAGTATTTTCTTTGGGGGGGGGCGCAGGATCATTATTAGTAATAAGGAGAGACAGTTAATAATGACAGTAACTATCATGCATCTTTCTGTTAAAATTTTGCAAGATTGTATGGGGCAAGAATTCTTTTTAAATCCTGTTTTGCAGCTAAGATGATGTCAGGCTTAAGTGTTTACTTGCCTCTGTAATTTAGCAAAGAGGTGCAAAGAGGCATGCAAGCGAAGGAATATCTGTTGACTGTATGCCTACCTAAGCACATATCACCAACCACCAAAAGCTACCAGGATTTGGACGTCATGGAGGATTTACTGTATGTGTATACTATGTGTGTTTGTGGAAGTGTGAGAACATTACATATACACACATCTAGAGAAGCTATGTGCACAAAGAACAAATGTGTATGTGTATATATCTGTATATAAAACTTTGATACCCGTAGAAAAAGGGAAAACTAGTGTATCCTATTAAAATATAGGTCTTAGTTTCCTTTGGTCTCGTTTCTTTTTCCGTTTCTCGAGATAGGTTCTCGCTATGTAGTTCAGGCTGGCCTGGTAGCAATCCTGCCTCCGCTTCCTGAATGCCGGGATTACAGGCATGCACCACCGTGAGGGACTAGGGGTTTACTACGCACGTAGTCACAGAAGGAAGGGAGCCTAACACCCGTGCCCCTCCCCATCCCGCTCCCTTACAGGGATGCTGTGTGGGTTATACAGGTGCCAGGCAAGGAACCTGGCAAAGACGCTGCAATCAGGGCTCGGTTTGAAACAGGGTGGCTCGCCTGATCTAGCCCCCTAACAGTAAACTAGGGAACTGGCACAGAATGAGTGGGCAGCCTGCACGATGCCTGGTCAATCGGCTCTTCATCCCCTGCAATCCTCCCTGGGGCATGGTGGGCGAGGGCTCACAGTGCGTAGTAGAGGCCCACAGCGTGCGAGTGGGCAATGGCATGAGCGGGCCGGGCCCGGCTGGGCGTCATGGCACGGGAGTCAGCTCTGCTTCTGCTTGGGGTTGGCAGTGCAGCACAGCCTCATCTCCGGCCCAGCGCTCACAGCTGCTCTTCGCCAGGGTTGGGACGGCCCCACTCTAAGGGCTGCGGGCATCACAATCCTTTCCACCCGCAGGATTCCAGCAGGTTGCCAGGAGACCCTGGGGGATGGTGGGGGTTGCAGAGCAGAGCAATTCGGGAACCCTCCCCTCGGTCAGTTGCTTTCCCTGTGCCCATCCGCGGGCTCCTCCCACCAGCAGCCGCAGGAGACGTCGCTGCTTTCGTTCCAACCACAGCCCACTCTGCCCACCACGCTCCACAGTGATTACACTCAACAGTCGTCTGTAAACAAGAATAAATTTATTTTTTTTAAAGATTTAATGATATACAAAATGTATATATCTTTAGTAATACACTTTTCTCTCCCGGTCAGTATTAAACACTATTAAACAGCTTATTCTGCTTGCCTTGTCTGTATCTATGAGATACACTACTGAATACAAATAAGCTTTACGCTGCTCCTTTCCAAATGAAAATTAATAGTACCTAGGAAACAAACAGAACAAAATAAAGGAAAAAAAAAATCAAAGCAGATGAAACATCTTTCTTGCTGAAATGAGGGGCAATTAAATTACATTTTATTGGCCTAAAGTTGCACTGCAGTCTCGTGACATCACCTGACGATGATCAGACTCAATTCATTTCTTAAATAAGTACCACAAACAACATTCAAGTTCATATGCCCCTACACAATCTTAAATATAAGCAAGAGCTCATATCCATGTCCTGATTGATATGCTGTCCTTAAATCTTTGGAGTAGTAGCAGCTTTCAGGTTGTCATCCCGACACATGGGGAAGCTTCCCGACTCCTCACAGGAAACACCCCTCAGCGGGAGTTACCTTCTCCTTTCACCATGGCTTTCTTCTGCTTAACAGTGATTTGATAAAACAAATACAATGAAAAAATACAATCTAATACCTCTGCACAATTTGGGCTCTACATAACAAAACACTGGCTCTGTTTTTTGATTCGGAGCCCGACCCTGATTCATAAAAGTCCCTCGCAGAGAATGGGCTTCCCCCAGGCGCTTGCTGCCAGGAGCCTAGAGTCCTCAGGAGGCGCCTCCTTTGCTGTGGCAAACAGCTCCACCAGGTGGGGACAATGACTCAGTAGGAAGACTTCAGACTGCCAAGTCACCAAAGGCTGTGTGCGTTCTTCATTTCTTGCTGAATGGCAATAAATCAACCGCCAATAAAATGTGCACAGACATCTAACTTTGGTTAATGGTATTGCACCATGTAAAGAGAGGGATTCACACCCTCACCAAATCTGCTTTTTAAGGAGCCCTTTAAGTTATAAATATTAATTTTCCATTCCCTTCAAAATTCTTAGCTGTCAGCTATATTCTATAGGAAGTTTCTAACTGACAAGTCTGATTAGGCCAAAAAAATACTGGCCTTTAAACCATGCTAGGGTCATCGGATTCACCATTACCCATTTCCTCCTGAAGGCAGAGTGACACAAAAAGATGTTTGTGAGGTGTGGGCAAAACCAATCATTCAGCAATATCACAGCATGAGACGAACAGAATTAGTCGACTCTGATTCTTTGGTAGAATTTCCAGGCTGAAGATTCAAATTGGAAGGCTCATCCGGAGGAAATACCATTTTATCAGGCGTATAGTCATTCCTCTTCAGATCTACAGTCACCACACCAACAAAAAAAATTTCTTAGAAATAAAGCATTTTCTAAATCAATTTTCTTCTAAACATGTCATACCTGTTTTCTACAAGCTGTTATATATTTAAGTGACAGTGCTTACACACATAAAAATGAAATACTTATTATATGTTGAACATCAATCCATAACTTGTACATAATGGAATGCAGCAGCGAACAAGGATTCTAGCAGGGGAAGCAAGCACTGGAAACGGTCTAATTCCTAGGAGGGTGATGCTCTGTAGGGCACCAGGGCCAGTGGGCAGCTGGTGAAGCGTGAGTCTTGCTGACAGGTCATCAGGGGGGAAAGTCAGGGAAAACACTTAAGCATGCACCTAACACAGAGTGAACTGTGTCAAAGCTCTAAAGGAGTCCTGGAGGCCAGTGACTGGGAACCTTTTCCCAGCTTCCAATGATAACAGAGGGCTGTGGCTGGTGTGCTAGTTCATCATCACTGCTCTAGCCACAGGTAATGTGAGCTGGCAGCACTGTAAGATACAGATGTGTGCTCTAGCAATGGTAGGAAGACAATGTGGCTTTTGTGCAGCACATGAGAGGAAGACTAGCAGAAAATGAGGTCAAGCAGCAGTTAATGGCCAAGGATTAAAACCTCTTCCTATGGGCCAATCTGACCAGTGAGTGGTCTGCTTTGGTAAATAATCTTAACAGGATGAGCCAGGCTCATTTAACACACCTTGGTTATTTATGCAGTGTGACAGTAGAGTTAGGCAGCTGAGACACTCACAGACTACATGGCCCACAACTCAGAAACTACCCATCATGCAATTGTGGCACAAGCATGAAATCCCACAACTCGGGAGGCAGAGGCAGGACTATAGCTGCAAGTTTAAGGCCAAGCTGCACTGCATAGTGAGACCCTGTCTCAGACCAAAAAAAAAAAAAAAAAAGTCCACTTTGCCTTTTTAAGTTTTCCGAGCACTAATTTAGGCAATCCAAGTTACGAAGTGAGCACAGACTATAATGAAAATCTACTGGAAGATTTCCAGCAGCCTTTGGAAGGAATGTAATCTGATTTGTTTTACATAATGATTCTGTGAAGCCTTACCTAGGGCACACAGCAGCCACCCACAAGATAGTGGCAGCCACAATATCTTGCAAGGCTGGTTGTGAAAAGTGAGGTAAATGGGTAAATGACCGATGAGATGGGGAAGGAGAGTTTTACAGGTAGGAGTGGGAGATATATCTGGATATGTTACTATCAAGATGCTTTAAGGAATGAATCCAGACAGAAAGGAGGGAACTAAACATAGAATCAGGAGCACAGGAGAGAAGGAAGTCTTCAGGTACATTTGGAATGGTCAGTATACAAAATGCATTTACAGTTATGAGACAGGATGAAATCACTTTACAGTTCTATATGACAACAGCTGCAGAATTACAACAGTGCAGTAATATCAAATTGATATTTTAAACCAATCATGGCCACACACATACTCTTTACTTATCTAAATAGAAAATATAACCGACACTCAAAATACAAACTGTTAATTTAAATCCAAAGCAACCTATATTACATGGTCCAAATGCTTGGCTGCAACATCATGGGTTATTTTTGATACAGTTTAAACTGAAGTTTATGTCAATATGGTCTGAGGGAATACAGTTAATTTCTAGCTGTACTATATATATAAACAACAGTAGGGAACCAGTTCAAGGCTTTATTATTGATGGTTGTAGCCCTAAGCAAATAATCTCAGCTTTGATTATTTGAATAGCTAAACCCTAATATTGCTCTTTTTTTTGGGTCTTTTTCCTTTTTATCGGTACCGGGGATCGAACTCACGACTGCCTGCTTGCAAGGCAGGCACTTAAGCCGCTGAGCTAAATCCCCAGCCCCTAAACCCTAATATTGGATGAAAATCGTACGTTTACAAATTAAGTAAGCTAAGTAAACCCCAAAAAACAAATTCAGAGGAAGTCACTATAAGACACACCAGAATGAAACTACTAAAAATCAAAGATAAGAACAAAATCTTGAAACTAGATTAAAATGGTATATCACATTTAGGAAATTACTAAAATCAATGTGGTATTTTCATCTGAAACAACAGAGGCCAGGACAAGACAACATTTTTTAGATGATGAAACACAAAATTATCAACCTAAAACTCTACATTCACTGAAAACAGCCTAGGGTATAGAAATCACAGAAACAGAGTCTTAATTGAAGGAAAACTAAAAGTAACCACTAAAAAACTAAGTTAAAAGAAAATATTAAAAGTGTTCAAATAAGCAAGGATGGGGACAAGTAGAAGGAGAGGTGACATATTAGAAAAAATAAAAATGACAAGTTTAAAGCTAATTATCGGGCTGGGGATTTAGCTCAGCGGCATAAGCGCCTGCCTTCCAAGCAGGCAATCGCGAGTTCGATCCCTGGTACCGATTAAAAAAAAAGACAAAATAAAATAAAATAAAATAAAGCTAATGATATCAACAATTGCATTAAATGTAAAACACCAACTAAACGATGAAAATTTTTAGATTTCAAGAAAAATCAGTCCCAGCTGTATATTGTTACAAATGGGCATCTGTATGTGTACATGTATTAAAAAGAATAAAAAAGGGATATGAGGTAACACTCATCAAAAGACAGAGTGACTACACTAACACACAACAATATTCTTTAGAGCAAGAAAAGTGACTGTAGTGTTGCACTGTTAGGAACCTGTCAGTTCACCAAGAAGACAGTAACAATATTAAACATGTATGCATCCAAGAACAGGCTTCACACTACTTGATGGAAAGAACTAAAAGGTAAAACTGACAAATCCACAATTACAATTATACTTTCTAATTCATCAATGGAACAAAGAAAATCAGCAAGATTTAAAAACACCTAAACAATTTGATCAAACTTTAATATTTATAGAACACTACATTCAATAACAGAACATATATTCTCAAGTGAATGTGGAATGCTCACCAGACACCATGCCTTTCTAAGATTTAACAATTTTTTAATTCAAACCACACAGTTGTACTCTTATTGTGGAATTACACAAGAAATCAACAGAAAGATAAACCTGAAAAATTTTTAATATGTGAGAACTGAATCCAGTCTGCATGTAGGATAAACATTCTGAAGAGCAACAACTATCAAGTACGTGCAAGACCCTGAGCTTGAGTCCTAGCACCACAAAAAATTAAGAAAAAGTAAAAGAAAAAGAAGCCAAAATTCATAAGATGCAGCTAAAATATTTGCAGAGGGAAAATTATAGGACTAAATGTTTTGTTAGAGAAGGTCAATAAGCTAAACTAAAAAACAAAAAGAATGTTAAAGATGTAAATGATAAAAATAAAGCAGAGAAATTTAGAAAATCAATGAAGCCATAACTTAAGGATTAAGAACATAAAAGAAGAAGTAGGGACACAAACAAGTGAACTACAAAAGCTACTCACAGAAATAATCCAGGAGAATTTTCCTAATTTAGCAAAAGGTAAAGATACTCAGATGTATGAGGCATACAGGA